ATCCATTTATCCTCAGTGTTCTTTTCACTAAAGAGTTTATGCCAGTCAATATATTGTAAAGCTTCCCTTAACTTATTGAAATTGGCCTTTTTAAAATTATATGTTTTAGTATTCCCCATGTGCTTTTGTTTTTTTGAGTTTATTTCAAAGGACACTATATTGTGATCACTATTTCCCAAGTGCTCACCTACTTGAATGTTGGTCAAAAGATCAACGTTGTTTGTTAAAACCAGGTCCAGACAAGCATCCATTCTAGTTGGTGCTTGTACAAGTTGTGACATGAAGGTGTCATTTAACAAGTTTAAAAACCTAATTCCCTTTGCTGAGGCACTAGTCCCTCTGTCCCAATTTATATCCGGGTAATTAAAATCTCCAATAATTAAAGTGTTACCCAGATTTTCAGCTTTCTCAATTTGCTCAAACAGCTGTTGTTCCTCGTCAATATTAACATTAGGTGGTTTATAACATATCCCAACCAATAGTTGGTTTCCCTTCTTTTCCCCCAAGCAGATATTTACCCATAAAGCTTCCACATTATCCTCCTCGCATTCCATTTGCTTAACATTTGGCTTTAAATCATGTTTGACATACAAACATACCCCACCACCTTTCTTGTTTTTCCTATCCTTCCTAAATAACGTGTACCCATTTAAGTTAGCTGCCCAGTCATGTGTCTCATCCCAGCATGTTTCAGTTAGTGTATATTATTATATCATATTGTTTAGTGTATACAAATGCCTCTAGTTCCCCCATTGTGTTATCTAGGCTCCTTGCATTAGTAAGCATACATTTAATATTATGCATCACTTGTATATTTTGTGAATTTTCAACATTACACAGCTTCTCTGTTCTGAGCTTGCCCCTCCCCCCGTTTCCACCCCTCTTATACTGTGCTAAAGCCCATCTCCTTTCTGTCCTATCTCCATTTTGTAGATTGCTATGACCCTCCCCCCCTACTACTAGTTTAAAATCTCCTCCAACCTTCTAGCCATCCTATCCCCAGCACTGCAGACCCTCTCCCGTTTAGGTGCAATCCATCACCACTATAAAGGTTGTACCCAATCGCAAAGTCGGCCCAGTGCTCTAAAAACCCAAAACCCTCCTTCCTACACCAAGACTTAAGCCACGCATTGACCTCTCTAATCTCCCGCTGCCTTTCCACTGTAGCGCGTGGCACAGGTAATATCTCAGAGAATACCACCTTGGAGGTCCTTTTCTTAAGTTTGCTACCTAATTCCCTGAAATCGTTCTTTAGGACCTTCCATCTTCCTCTTACTTTGTCATTGGTACCAACATGGACCATGACTGCTGGGTCATCCCCAGCCCCTCCCAATAATCCATCCACTCTGTCAGCAACATGCCGGACCCGAGCACCCGGGAGACAGCAAACTGTCCGGTTGAGCCGATCAAAGTGGCAGATTGCCCTATCTGCTCTCCTAATGATAGAGTCCCCTACCACCACAACCTGTCTTGCCTTCCTTACATTTTGATCCCCACCCGTACTAGGGGGGCTGTTAGCTCAGCTGTTAGAAGTAACAGCTTCCTCTAATACAGCTACTCCTGAGCTGATGCTCCCAACATCTTCCCTCAAACGGGCAAATCTGCGAGTTAACCTAGAATGAAATCTTTCAACCGTTTCTGATTTTTCTTGAACAATATCAGCAATAGAAGTAGCCTGATCAGCCAACTTATCTTGAGCCCATGCACGGAGTTGTTCACAAAATGTGATACCAGACTGAAAATCCGTGTCCGTAGTGAGACGGGCATCATCAAAGCTCTTTTCCATTATGGGCCAGTAAGCATCCCCTGCCTTAATTTCACACAGACTAAACAAATCGCGCCATGCTGCAGAGTAAGTTTTACGGATTTGAACCATCCGACGGAAAAAGGGCATGGGCTGTTTCTCAGGGTCAGGAAGTGAGTGTACCAGTGTTGCAGCTTGGGACGGGTTGAAGGTAACATACATTAAAGGGGCGCCCTCCTGATCATGCTGGGCACTGCAAGCACTTGCTATGGGAATGTGAGGCAGATTAGTTGGGGTCTGTGGAGGCTGCGCCCCCTGGACACTACCATCAGCAGGGGGAATGGGAATCTGTTGGCTGGATACACGAGCCATGTCAGGAAGAACTGAAATCGGTCCAGCAGTAGTAGGCCGCAGGGTGATTAACTGTAGTAGTAATGTGGACTGAATCAAGTTGTGAGGCAGGGGGAGAAGTGACTGATGTAGCAGTGGAGGTAGCAGGATATTAGCCTGATGCTGCAGGGGTGGCAGCAGGAGGATAGCCTGATGCTGCAGGGGTGGCAGCAGGAGGATAGCCTGATGCTGCAGGGGTGGCAGCAGGAGGATAGCCTGATGCTGCAGGAACAGTGGATCCAATAGTCATAATAGGGAAAGATACACTGGGGGCAGTTATGAGAGGGGCGGGAATGGAAGAGGATACAGAAGGGAGGGAGGAAGCGACCACAGTAGCGTTGGTAGGGGAAGTTACCATCATGGAAGGGATGGGTGTGTTAGAAACAGGAAATGGTGACAGTGAAAGGGCAGAAGAGAAGGAATCCAAAGGAGAAGTAAGGGCGGAAGTTATAGGGAGAAGTGAAAGGAATTGGGCGTGGACAGAAGCAACAGGAGTCGGAAGAGAGGGTGTAGCAGCAGAGATGGGCAAGAGAGGAGGAGGCAAAGAAACAGGAAGGGAATGTGTGACTGGGATTTGGAGTGGAGAAGGAGAGGGGGCTGGAAAATAACATGAACCGTCTGCCTTAAGGACAGGGTACAAGGCAGCAGGGGCTGGAGAGAGGGTGCTAACATGAATGGGCTGTGTGGGGGCTCCAGGGGTTGGTTGAGCCACCTCCCTTTCTGGCCAGGCCTTATCATATGGAGGAGGGCTGGAAACGCCTGCAACAGATTCAACAAAACAACCTTTTTCATGATACACAAAGACTTTCTTCCCCTCTAGGTCTATCTCCTCCTCAATCTACCCCTCCTTCTTAATCCCTTGAGCCACCCGATACCTCTAACAATATCCCATGTTTATCGTTTAAAAGTTTTCTCCAGTCTTCCGCCTGCAATCTGCCACTGGGGGACATAGTAATAGCACACAGTTTAATAATTTTCTTAAGTTTGGCTACAGCTAAGTCCCCAGCTCTTTCTTTTACAAGGTCACAGGCTAACCAACCCCGGGAGGGGCTAACATTAGTTTGACCCATTTATACACAACAGTGGTATGGATAGAGAGAAACAGGGAAAAGAAACGGCAAACAGACCCTGAACCAAAAGAGAGTGAGAGATTGAGGTAGAGAGACTGAGGGAGCGAGAGAGTGAAAGGAAGAGTGTTAGAGTGAGGGAGAGGAAAAAAGAGAAAGAGAGAGACAGAGAAAATGAAGGAGAAAGTGAGCAAGAGGCTGAGGGAGAGAAGGTGAGAGGGAGAGGGAGAGAAAGAGAGGGAGAGAGAGAGAATGAAAGTATACAAGAATTATAGACAAAGGAAAACGTGCACACAAGCTTCACATGTACTGCAGAGCATAACACAGAGAACCAAAAAAACAAAAAAACATTTCCAGCTGCACAGTCACCAAGGGAAGAAGGAAGGGAGGGAGGGGTCGTAGGGGGTGAGGAGCAGATTCGCAAGCACAAAGTCTTTTAACTATGTGATTGCCTAAGCACAGCTCTCCTTGGGACAAAAGATAGAATAGGAGAGCGACAAGACATAAACTTATAGTTCACAATTAACATATATGGTACCCAAAAATACATATACAGACAAAAGCACAAAATACAGATGTAATTAAATCACAAAGTCCATAAAATAAATGTCGGCTAATAACTCAAATCACACACACAGAAACACTCAAGCACATAAACATTAACTTTTCCTTTTCTTTTCTTTGTAACTCTACACCGAGCTTTACTAAAAGAAAAGGCACCAGTTCTTACTTTACCAAATAAACTTAGCTAAAACAAATAAAACCTTTAAACTCTAAACCGAGTTGTATTAAACAAATAAAACCAACAAAAGAACCGCCATGATCTAATGATAAATTTAAAAAAAAAAAAAAAAAACGCCAGGGGCTATTATGCACACCTGAACTCAATAATCGCCAGACTCTCAACCGAGTCTTAATAAAACACACTCACTAGCTTCTTTACCGAAGCTTAGCTAAAACAACAAAAGAAACCGTTAAACTCTCAACCGAGTCTAACTAAAACAAAGAAACTGCCAGGTTTTTTTTTTTACCAAAACGAGGCCACAACAACATTCGCTAGTTTCTTGACCGAAACCTAGCCAAAACCACAAAATAAACCTTTAAACTCTCAACCGAGTAATATTAATAATTGCCAGGGTTTTTTTCTTTTTCACCAAACCCGAACTTGGCTAAATATGCCAGCGCTTAACCACACTTGGCAGCATTATATAACAGTATTAAGCAAGTAGTAAAACAGATTCTCAAGCAGACACTTTCACACATAAAACTCACACTCAGGATGTAGATAGACAAATTGACAGGTTCTATTCAAATAAAGGGGACATGTGGGCATACTATATACCTGTCGAAGACGTTAACAGGAAGCAGAGTGAAGGAACGGAGAGTAAACGAAGTCCAAAGAAAGGAAAATATAGGGTAAGTAACTAATTTACCATATGCAGAGGTGATCAGGCTCTTTTTTTTTGTTCCAATCTCTGGGGGTCTCCTCTCCGGTCCTGGGATTTTACGGCTTCCTTATTAACGTAATCTCCAGTCCCATCTGGGGTGCCAAAATTGTTTTGGATCAAAGAAAACTTTGATTATTTGTCTGTCTACTCCTTCCAAATTGATTAATTAATGCGTGCACGCTTTCCCTAGAAGTAATTCACACCGGAGACAAAGTTTCTGATCAGTGAAAAACCAAGGGATGCTTTATTCCCCGGAGTGGGGGCTCCTTCTTAAAGCAAAAATATGTCACAGTTTAAACATACAGTATACATTCAATAATTGGTTAACAGTCTAAGGGGTCTTGTCTAAACCCCCCCTACAGGATGTAGTGTCGTCATTACAGACTTCTCCCGCCTATATTCCAGCTCCTGGATACACGATGACAGGGGGAGTGAGTAGTCTCTTTCAGTTACTTTAACAGTGATTCTCCATTTTGTTACACGTGGCATATAGCTGTTAACTGGCACAAAGGAAGTGGGGGAGGAGTTAGTAAAGGAAGCTGTGAACACAGGATTTTTTTGGTTACACAAGGCCTGCTCTGATGGGAAGGGGGATGCTAGCAGGATGCGAAGAATTTACAGAGAGAAAATAGTGCCTGAACACATTGTAGGGGGGGGAGGGAATATTTACTCTAGCAGCCAGTTTTAACATAGTGAACACAGAATAAATAGACATTAGTAAATAGCCATTTTATTTTAATTCATCTGTCCATAACAGTCACATACACACACAGGCAGACAGTCATACACACAGACACACACACACAAAGAAAGACAGTGACACACACACACAGGCAGACAGTCATACACACAGGCAGGCAGTCACACACACACACACAGAGGCAGGCAGTCTCACACACACACACACACACACACACACAGGCAGACAGTCATGCACACACACACATACACACACAGGCAGACAGTCACGCACACACACACAGGCAGGCAGTCACACACACCACAGTCACACACACATACATACACAGACAGTCATACACACACACACAGGCAGACAGTGATATACACACACAGCAGACAGTCATACACACACACACACAGACACAGGCAGACAGTCATACACACACAGCAAGACAGTCATACACACACATACAGGCAGGCAGTTATATATGCACACACACAGACAGTCATACACACACACACACACACACAGACAAAGGCAAACAGACACACACACAGCAGACAGTCATACCAACACACACACAGACACAAGCAGACAGCCATACAGACACAGACAGACAGTCATACACACACACAGACACATGCAGACAGACATACACACACAGCAGACAGTACACACACATACAGGCAGGCACACACACACAGACAGTCATACACACACACACACACACACAGACAAAGGCAAACAGACACACACACAGCAGACAGTCATACCAACACACACACAGACACAAGCAGACAGCCATACAGACACAGACAGACAGTCATACACACACACAGACACATGCAGACAGACAGACACACACAAACACACACACATACAGGCTGACAGCCACACAGACAGACACACACATACATGCAGGCAGACAGCCACACACACACAGATAGCACACACACATACAGCAGGCAGCCACACACACACACACACACAGAGGCAGATGGCCATGCACACACACACACACACAGGGAGGGCATCACACACACAGAGGCAGGCAGTCACACACACACACACAGACGGGAACGCCACACAAACACACACCACACACACACAGGCAGGCAACCACACACACACAGGCAGACAGTCACACACAGGCGAACAGTCACATACACATACACACACACAGGCAGACAGTAATATACACAGACACACACACACACACACACACAGGCAGGCAACCACACACACACACAGGCAGACAGTCACACACAGGCAGACAGTCATACACACACACACACAGGCAGACAGTAATATACACAGACACACACACAGTCATATACACACACACACACACAGGCAGACAGTTATACACACACACAGGCAGACAGTCACACACACACAGGCAGTCACATACACACAGCAGACAGTCATACACACAGACACACACACAAAGACAGACAGTGACACACACACACACACAGGCAGACAGCCATACACACACACAGACACAGTCATACCCACACACAGACACACACACAAGCAGACAGCCATACACACACACACACACACACAGATAGCCACACACATACATGCAGGCAGACAGCCACACACGCACAGATAGCCACACACAGGCAGACAGCCACACACACACACACAGAGGCAGATGGCCATACACACACAGGAAGACATCCACACACACAGAGGCAGGCAGTCACACACACAGGCAGACAGCCACACAAACACACACACAGGCAGGCAGCCACACACACACACACAGGCAGACAGTTACACACAGGCAGACAGTCATACACATACACAGGCAGACACACAAACAGTAACACACACAGTCAGACAGTCATACACACACACACACAGGCAGACAGTTATACACACAGACAGACAGTCACACACACAGGCAGTCATACACACACAGGCAGTCACATACCCACACAGGCAGACAGTCATATACACAGACACACACACACACAAAGACAGACAGTGACACACACACACAGACAGACCATCATACACACACACAGGCAGGCACTCACACACACACAGAGGCAGGCAGTCATACACACACACACAGACAAAGGCAAACAGTCACACACACACACAGCAGACAGTCATACCAACACACACACAGACACACGCAGGCAGCCATACAGACACAGACAGTCATACACAAACACAGACACACACACACACACACAGGCAGACAGACACACACACACACACACACATACAGGCTGACAGCCACACACAGACAGCCACACACATACATGCAGGCAGACAGCCACACACACACACACACAGATAGCCACACACATACACGCAGGCAGACAGCCACACATGCACACACACACACACAGAGGCAGATGGCCATACACACACACAGGAAGACATCCACACACACAGAGGCAGGCAGTCACACATACACACACACACACACAGGCAGACAGCCACACAAACACACACACACAGGCAGGCAACCACACACACACACAGGCAGACAGTCACACACAGGCAGACAGTCATACACACACACACACAGGCAGACAGTAATATACACAGACACACACACAGTCATATACACACACACACACACACACACACAGGCAGACAGTTATACACACAGACACAGGCAGACAGTCACACACGCACAGGTAGTCATATACACACAGTCAGACAGTCATACACACAGACACACACACAAAGACAGACAGTGACACACACACACACACAGGCAGACAGCCATATACACACACAAACACAGTCATACCCACACACAGACACACACACAAGCAGACAGCCATGCACACACACACACAGCCACACACATACATGCAGGCAGACAGCCACACACACACACACAGAGGCAGATGTCCATACACACACAGGAAGACATCCACACACACAGAGGCAGGCAGTCACACACACACACACAGGCAGACAGCCACACAAACACACACAGGCAGACAGTCATGCACACACACACACACATACACACACAGGCAGACAGTCACACACACACACACAGGCAGGAAGCCACACACACACACACATACACAGACAGTCATACACACACACAGGCAGACAGTCATATACACAGTCACACACACGCACACACAGGCAGACTTTCATACACACAGTCACACACACAGGCAGACAGTCATACACATACAGGCAGACAGTTATGCACACAGACACACAAGCAGACAGTCACACACACACACACACACGCAGTCATACACACACAGGCAGACAGTCACACACACAGGCACACACACACAAAGACAGACAGTGACACACACACACAGGCAGACAGTCATACACACAGACAGACAGTCATACACACACACAGGCAGAAAGTCATACACACACACACACACACACACACACAGTTACCGCTGTTCGTTTTGGAGGCAGTGCAGCTCCTGGAAACTGTTTGTTGGGGAAGCAGGGACTCCTTCCTGCTTCCCTTGCAGCAGTTATCCAGCACTTTTAGCCGCACCCCTGCCATCAGTTTCGCTCCGCCCCCGCCGCATGGGATGCTCCGCCCCGTCGCACAGGAAGTTCCGCCCCACCGCACTTTATTTTTTTTAATCCCGGCCGGCCATGTGTGAGCTGTGTCGGCCACATGGCATCCCCCAACTCCATGGCGCCCTGTGCAGCCGTAGAGCATACACACCCCTAGGGCCGGCCCTGCTCAGAAATCTTACTGGATTTGCCCTAGATGTTAATAGGCTAACCCTTGGTGGGACTCATTGACTCTGTGCAAGGGAAAGAGGAATAAGTGGGAAGATTTTTTGCCTAATTTCACATAGGCTGGGAGTCATTAGGATACTCTGAAGCAGACCCCCTGTCTATCAGACATTTTGTTACTTGTTTTATAGATGGTTTACACCCCCCACTGCATTACAGTTAAAGTAGCCATGGGGGTAGAGGCTAATTCTAATACACACAAGAAACCAACAGCTCTTATGGATGTGACTGCCCCCAAGCAGGCCAATAGTCACCAGCAAGTAGAATGCTGGAACCAGGGGAGGGCTGGCAGCCTCAGGCCTGGGGGGCAAATCCAGTCAAGTGGCCCATTGCACCCCCAAATCAGCTCACCATCCATGCCCACCTTTTCCTGGTTTTATAACGGATATGGATGTTATGCTAATCAGTAGCTCTTTGCCATACCCACTCCTTTGCGGCTCCGACTTTCAATGTTGTCAGAGAGCAGGCTGAGAATCTCTGAGTCTGTGCTCTGACTCACTAACTGAGCACCGGACACACGAGGGAGAGGATATGATCTAAGACACCTACTGCTGGTGTGCACCAGGAGACCACTAGGGAATCAAATAGTTTTCCTGGCACTGCAGGTCCCCTCTCCCTCCCACCCCCCATCCCATGTTGCTGAAGGGGTTAGAACCTCTTCAGTGACATACCTGAGACTAGCGCCGATGTCCCTCGGCGCTGGTTTAGGGTCCGCCCACGCTCCTCCCCTGTAGACGTCATCCAGCAGGGGAGACCGATTGTGCATGCGTGGCCGCCAGCGGGGGAGACCTAATGTGCATGCGTGGCAATGCTGCGCACGCGCATTAAACCTCTCCATAGGAAAGTATTGAAAATGCTTTCAATGCTTTCCTATGGTGATTTTAGCGACGCTGGAGGTCATCACAAATCTGTGCTATAAACCAGGAATTGCCTCTAGTGGCTGTCTAGGATATACAGGATCCAGGAAATAAAATAAAAAAATTGAGTAAATATAAAAGTAACTTTAAAAGTATACTTTAATATAAACAAACAAAATAAAGGATAAAATATATAAAACATAAAATTTAGTCCCACTTAACGCGTTTTGCCAGGTTGGCTTCTTCAGAAGTGTGGTATAATGTCCAGTAAGTCCGTTTATATATCCTTATTGATGAAGAGATGGTATCCTGGTGTGTTTACTTCCTGGTTCCGGCTTGTTGCTGATACGCACGCGTCATACCGAAAGTGACGCGGCACCCGCGTTATACCGGAAGTGACGCGATACTCGCGTCCGACCGGAAGTGATCGCTGCATTTCAATTAAAATAAATGTTGTATTTAGGCGCCTGAAAGCATACGTATCACCAATAGATGGTGTACGTAGCGTTTCGAGCGTCACCCGCCCCAGCCTCCAATACTAGAGAGTGTGGGCATATCGTAGTGCAAATACAATGCGGCGGCCATATTTGTTAAGGGCAAACATCAATTTGGGAAAAAAACTAATTGGAATAATTTAATAACAGAAATATAAGTCTTATTTATAGAAAAATAAAATAAAAACTGCACATATGCAGTGTGCAAATGCTAAAACAATAATAGAGAAGAAGGTAGTATAAAATATAGACTTTAAAATAGCTGATAACTATAACAATTGGGTCTATAATAAAGAAGTAAAAATGGCACATGTAGATATTATATGTAAAGGATTTGACATAATAATCAGAATTTTAAACAACCATAAAACATAAAACATTGAAGATATTATAAAAACCCAATAAGTGTGGGACGTGCTATAAGAAAAAAGATGGACAAGAATGTTGAGAGAGAGAAAGAAATTTTTTTTTTAATATTTTGTGTCATTTATAAAAGATTTATAAAAAATTAAATAAATCAAAATCAACATTCAAACCCTTGAGGTGTAGGGTATCTAGTTGATATACCCACTGCATTTCAGTTTGTCCAATCCTTCTTATAGCATCTCCCCCTCTCCAGTGATTCTTAACTATTTTGATCCCAATGAACGTGAGGTGTTTAGGGTCATTATTATGCATGCAAAAGTGCGCTGGTATTGAGTGATTCTGTAGACCTTTTTCTATATTTCTACAATGTTCTGCGATTCTAGTTTTTAGTGGCCTGATCGTTCTACCTACATATTGGAGGCCACACGAACATTCCAATAAATAAATTACATTTTTACTATTGCATGTAATGACCTCTTTTATATTATATATTTTGTTGGTATTATTTGATTTAAAATCAGTGATCATTCTTTTAGTAGTTTTTGTTTTTTTACATGCCATACAGCAATTACATTTGTAAAAACCTTTTTTGTCCATAAAGTTATTAATTTTATTAGGGCTATTTTTTGTAAAAAATTTTGTTAAATGCATTTTAAGATTAGGAGCTCCTCTGAATATTACTTTTGGTTTATCGGGAATTATTTTTCCTAAAACCTCATCTTCCTTTAGTAAATGCCAATGTTTTGTTAAAATTTTCTTCAATTGTCTATTTTTGTTGTTGTAATCTAATACAATAGGTAAAGTAAAATCACAATTATTCTGATTCACTGAAGTTTTGACTCTGTGTATGAGTTGGTTCCTATTAATTGTAGCTGTTTGGTTAATAGTTGAATCAATGTGATTAGCATCATAACCCTTTTGTATAAAGCTTTCCCTCAGTGTATTAGCTTGCTTTAAAAACACAGCTTTATCTGAACAGTTTCTTTTAAGGCGCATCATTTGACTTTTAGGTATACTATCTAGCCATATATTGTTATGGCAACTTTTAGTACTTATATAATTGTTTACATTTACTTCTTTAAAGTGTGTTTTTGTTTGTATTGTGTTATTTTCAATGTATATATTTAAATCTAGTTATGTAACCATAGTGCTACTAAAATCCGCTGTTAAAACTATGCCTTCTTCATTGTTGTTTAAAAAAGAAATAAAATCCTTGGCTGAACTAATAGGCCCCTTCCAAATAAACAGGAGGTCGTCTATGTAACGAGAATAGGAAACCAGGTTCTGCACCCAGCCATGCCCCCTCCACACGGACCGATCTTCCCATTCGGCCATATAGAGGTTGGCATAGCTGGGTGCGAACCTAGTACCCATAGCATTCCCAGTTTTCTGTAAAAAGAAGCTGTCTTTAAACCAGAAATAATTATGTTTCAAAATTAAATCTATGCCGTCAATAATAAAATCTCTTTGTTCTTGGAACATAGAGTCATCCCGTTCTAAAATAGATCTGATTGCCTGGCATCCCTTGTCATGTTGGATAATCGTATATAATGACTGTACGTCGCATGTAATAAGTATATAATCATTTTTAAAATTCTGATTATTATGTCAAATCCTTTACATATAATATCTACATGTGCCATTTTTACTTCTTTATTCTAGACCCAATTGTTATAGTTATCAGCTATTTTAAAGTCTATATTTTATACTACCTTCTTCTCTATTATTGTTTTAGCATTTGCACACTGCATATGTGCAGTTTTTATTTAATTTTTCTATAAATAAGACTTATATTTCTGTTATTAAATTATTCCAATTTGTTTTTTTCCCAAATTGATGTTTGCCCTTAACAAATATGGCCGCCGCATTGTATTTGCACTACGATATGCCCACACTCTCTAGTATTGGAGGCTGGGGCGGGTGACGCTCGAAACGCTATGTACACCATCTATTGGTGATACGTATGCTTTCAGGCGCCTAAATACAACATTTATTTTAATTGAAATGCCGCGATCACTTCCGGTCGGACGCAAGTATCGCGTCACTTCCGGTATGACGCGGGTGCCGCGTCACTTCCGGTATGACGCGTGCGTGTCAGCAACAAGCCGGAACCAGGAAGTAAACACACCAGGATACCATCTCTTCATCAATAAGGATATATAAACGGACTTACTGGACATTATACCACACTTCTGAAGAAGCCAACCTAGCGAAACGCGTTAAGTGGGACTAAATTTTATGTTTTATATATTTTATCCTTTATTTTGTTTGTTTATATTAAAGTATACTTTTAAAGTTACTTTTATATTTACTCAATTTTTTTATTTTATTTCCTGGATCCTGTATATCCTTGGTGGGGATTATACCACCTATGCTGTTTATACTAGAGCAGGATTTATGCTCTAGAAATTGTAAGTACAATACTATTTAATATTTATTATATTATTAGTACTTACTTCACCATATTGCTGCTATTTTAATAAATAATCTAATATTCGTGGCAACTTCTACAAATCCAAAGACGGGGATTGTACCGTCCAGGCGCTTTACAGCAGAGCTCTGTTATAGCTCATTCATATGTGAGTGGACTGTACATAGTTTTAAACCACCTGTCTTTAAGAGAATATTTACTGTATTGCACTATTATTTTTTATCTTAATTCTTTTTGAGGTTATGATTATTTAGAATATTCAAGGATACATGTATGTATTTTTTACATATATAAATTATTAGGCGCGGTATACTCTTTTCTCTTTGTTCTCCTAAGTAGTATTTTTAGTATTAACATTATAGGCTTTTTGTCCCAAGCAAGTTAGCTCACCTACAGACGTGTTATACATTGTCCCTTTCCTGGCTATACAAACATGACCTATAATGGAGGTTTTTAACCACCATTCCGATTTACTTCTAGTACTTACTTGATGATCAGACTGGAAAGGTATCTGTTGTTCATATGTCTCAGAGCCAGGGTACCATATTTCCTTTGCCTCCCATGGCCACTGGTCTCCCATATTAGTACCTCCACACACATAGCAATTAGTTACATTAAGACTACCTGCAATACCCTCAGCCAAATCAATAAATAGGTTCTTAACATTATGGGGAATTTTATCCTCAACACTCATCTCCTCATAGAAGGAATGAGAAACCTGATAAGTTTGAGTTGCCACTGTCTCATTTTCAAGACCTACATATATTATTGTTCCTGGATCTACTCCTGTGCCATATATTTGGAACCCAAACAGACCTCCGAACCTGTCAATAAAGTGCTACAGATTGGAAATGGTCATGTGAACGGGGTTACACACATAGTTTTACAGTATGGTGTGGTAGGCAACCTTTGGATAATCATATCTTGATCCACTGTTTTTCCCAGGTTGCCCAACCTACACATGACCAATAGGGGCAGAAGTTAGTCTCTATTTGGGCAGTCAGGATCAGTAGATCTTTTACTGGGACATATGGGTTTAATGATAAATACTTAAGTTCGTTCCCATTTAAAATTACCACATACATTCCAAAGTCTTCCACTACCCGAAATCGCCTTACATGCATCAAATAATAGAATACCCGTGGAATGTATGGTGCTTATCACAGTCCTATTTATTAATGTCCCCTGGGAGTTACTATTCCGAATTACCAACCAAATTGTACGGGGTTGAAATTGGGGATCGAAACATTTAGACTCTCCTGATATTGGCTTGCACACACTATAATCAATATTCAAATATCTACATTTAGATACAGATACCTTACATTCATACTGTGAGTGCCAGGTGAGAGTTTGGGATATTTGGTTACCTGTTTTAGTAGTCTTAATGCAACTATCGCAATTCGATATGTCTGCAGTGGAGTCTCTAGGATTAATTTTTCGGGGGGGCACATGGAGGGCCAGTGACAAAAGTAGGGGGGCACATTTAACTCCGCCCTCGCCGCAGTTTGACCCCGCCCCTGTCGCATGTTAAGCCACGCCACACACACACAGACTGCTGAGTCCATACACACACAGATTGCTGAGTCCATACACACACACACACACAGACTGCTGAGTCCATACACACACACACTGCTGAGTCTACACACACAGAGACTGCTGAGTCCATACACACACAGATTGCTGGGTCCATACACACACACACACACACAGACTGCTGAGTCCATACACACACACACACACACACAGACTGCTGAGTCCATACACACACAGATTGCTGAGTCCATACACACACAGATTTGCTGAGTCCATACACACACACACAGACTGCTGAGTCCATACACACACAGATTGCTGAGTCCATACACACACAGATTGCTGAGTCCATACACACACACATACACACACACACAGACTGCTGAGTCCATACACACACACACACACATACTGCTGAGTCCATACACACACACACAGACTGCTGAGTCCATACACACACAGACTGCTGAGTCCATACACACACACAGACTCTGCTGAGTCCATACACACACACACAGACTGCTGAGTCCATACACACATACACACACACACCAGACTGCTGAGTCCATGCACACACACAGACTGCAGGAGTCCATACACACACACACACACACACACAGACTGCTGGTCCATACACACACAAACTGCTGAGTCCATACACACACACACACACACACACACACAGACTGCTGAGTCCATACACACACACACACACAGAGACTGCTGAGTCCATACACACACACACACACAGACACACACTGCTGAGTCCATACACACATACACACAGACTGCTGAGTCCATACACACACAGACTGCTGAGTCCATGTGTATGGGGATAGTGTATGTGTGTAGAGTGTATGTGTATGGGGGGGAAGAGTGTGTGTATAAGGGGCAGTGTGTGGGGCAATGTGTGTGTATGGGGGGCAGTGTGTGGGGCAATGAATGTGTATGGGGGGCACTGTGTGTGTATGTGTGTGTATGGGGGGCATTATGGGGGGCAATGTATTATTCTATGAGGTAGTAAGGGGCAATATTAGTAAGCCATGGGGCAGTGTGTGTGTATGTTTGAGAGATGATATTATTGTATGGAGACTGTATTTGGGGCAATGTGGTATTGTATGGGGGCCAATGTGTGCGTATGGGGCACAATGTGTGTGTGGGGGGAGGCAGTGTATGATATGGGGGCAATGTGTGTGTCTGTGGGGAGCAGTATGGGGGCAATGTGTGTGTGACTGTATGGGGGCAGTGTGTGCCTATAGGGGCAGTGTGTGGGGCAGTGTGTGTATGGGGGCATGTGTGTGTATGGCTTTGGTGTGGGGGGCAGTGTGTGTGTATGGGGGGCAATGTGTGTGTGTGGGGGGCAGTATGGGGGACAGTGTGTGTGTATGGGAGGCTGTATGGGGACAGTGTGTGTGTATGGGTGCGGTATGGGGGGCAATGTGTGTGTATGGGGGTTGTGTGTGGCTGTGTGGGGAAGGGAGGCTGTATGGGGCAGTGTGTGTATGGGGGCAGTATGGGGACAGTGTGTGTGTATGGGAGGCTGTATAGGGGGGCAGTATGGGGGGGCAGTGTGTGTGTATGGGGGGCAATGTGTTTGTATGGGGGGCAGTGTGTGTGTATGGGGGCAATGTGTGTGTATGGGGGCAATGTGTGTGTGTACACCCCCCACTCCCCCCAAGCCTACCTGTCACTGGGGGTCAGGCAGCCATCTTCTGAAGCAGCATGGGCTGCTGCATTACGGCGGGGCGGGGCTTATCGGCAGGGCTTCGTTTGGGGGCAGAGCCTGTGCCGGGGAGCCAATCAGTGCTCCCTCCAGCCACAGACAGCCCCCAGCACCTCAGCACTGCATTCCCTCGGGCTGTAACAGTCCGAGGGAAGCCCATGGCCAGCATGATGTAGGGGGGGCCATGGCCCCCTCTGGCCCCCCTCTAGCGATGCCACTGTATGTCTGTACTCCTACCTTCCTGAAAAATCATAAAAATACTAAGACACATAATAAAACACATTCCTGAAATCCTCATTTTTCTTCGACCGTGCGATGGCCTCTCAGCTTCCCGATTGTGAGGGCTGCAAGGATGTTGTTCTTCTGATCCTCACTTTCCTTCACAGAGATCCCTTCGAGATACTCTGGCTATGACACGTAGGCAGGTGGTCAGGCTTTATTATGGCCGTCAAAACACCTACTTGATGATCTCTGTAGACTTTTAACTAGAATGTCTCGATATCCCCTCGTACTTTATCTCACGACATGTTCAATCCAACTGGGTTATGCGCTTCAACCGGGTCCTGCAAGGATTCTCAGGATCCGGAGTAGCTTGCCAAGAGTCTGCCGCTGGTTTAACCTTAGAATGATGAATCCAAGGAGTCACTTCCGCCACCTTTACAGCTGTTGGGGTAGATAAAAAAACAACATACAAAGGCTAGCACCCCGAGCTTTAACTCAATATGTATTGGTAGGATATTACGAGCAAGACCTGGAGGATTATTTTCTTCCCATACTCCTGGAATGTCAAATAAGGATTCATCACTCTTAGGGTTAACACTTGTCACTATGGAATAGAAGCGTCATTCTTCTTCCCTTGGCACCGATATCGCCATTATGCCTGGTAATCCCTTAAACTTCAGAGATGTTGATCCATTAGGTAAAAGGTTATCTGAGCTTAAAGCTTCGATAATAGATCTCGTCCTAAAAGTTGAATCGGACACTCTGGCATATATAGGAACTAATGCTTCACCACATGGCCTCCCAGAATACAAGTGCGACTCTTAAGAACCGGTCTAGCTGCACTTCTCCCAGTAGCTCCTATCACAGTTATAGTCTTCCCCGAAGGCGGAGCCACCATCTTAGTCACCACAGAATGTTCAGCACCTGTGTCAATCATGAAAGAACTTCTCTTTCCCCCTATTGCTACATCGACCATAGGCTCCGCTTGACCAACTGGAAATGGAGCCCGGTCGGTATCAATAGTCTTCCATGATCGTATCAGCCAGACCCACAAAATCTCTATCCTCTCTTTCTCTAGGTCTCTGCGTGGGTTGATAGTATCTGTCTCCTTGAACACTTCCTCTACTATTCCCACCATTCCCTCTAAAACTTCCTCTTCCTCTATAACTACCACTATAACCTCCTCGTACCCTTCTCTCTCCTTGTCTATCACCTTCATACTGCTCTCTCTGTGGACACTCACTCTTCCAATGTCCCTCCTTTCTACTGATTCCTACTTAAAGGTCCCTTGCTCAGCCTATTCTCGTCTCCTCTATTCACTTCCCTGTCTTTCTACACTTGAGATAGCTACCGCTAGCATATCTGCCCTTTTCCTCATCTTACGTTCTTCCTCCCGCTTTACCTCCGTCTCCCTATTCATATATACTTTATTTGCAATCTCCATTAGCTTTAATATGGACATCCCTACAAATCCCTCTAATTTCTGTAATTTCCTTTTAATATCACCTTGGGCCTGGCTGCCAAATGCTGAGTCTATCATTCAGAAGTTTTCAGGGGCTTCAGGATTGAAAGGAGTGTACAATCTATTTGACTCAAGCAGTCTCTCATAAAAAGCACTAGGTGACTCATCAACACCTCAGCCATCTTTGACATATTAATTGCCTTCTTCCCTCCTGCCTTCATGCCAGCAATTATGGCTTCCCGATAAGCTCTTAGTTGGGGCATGTCAGCACCATTCACGTTCCAATTTGGATCGACATTTGGATAATAGAAGTGTGACGAGACCAATCTCGCCACATTGCATTGGAGAAGCCTGGTTGCTCGCCTGCTGCCTTTGGACTATGGCCCCCTTTTAAAAGACTTTATTTTTCCATGCAGAAAAGCTGTATTCGTGCTTTTCTGCCGGTTGTTCGGTAGTTTCAATCTACCGAACAACCGTACGAATGACTGGACCACCTGGGAGCTGGAGTGTGCCGGCAATTAACCTCCCTGAAGCTGCGGTTAACCGCAGATTAATTGATGAACGCTGGGTGGCCGCCGTTCGTATCCCGAACACGAGGTCGCGGCCATTTTAAACCATACGAATGAACAGCGGTGTTCGCCTCTATTTTCATGGAACTAAAATCGGACACAGTTTTGCGCGAACACCGCTGAAGCCGCCGACCTCCCTTCTTGTTCGGTGAAAGCACACGAATGACCCGGTGTTCGGTATTTTTGTGTGAATGTCTTATACCCCAGATAGGAATCCCATGGAGCCCATTCGTATGAAACTGACTGTAAAGACTTTGGCTCCATGGCGATTGAACTGTATTCGTGTAGTCTGAGTGCCATTCACCTAATAATGTGCACTCAGACCTGAGCTATCTGGGGATATGTTACATGTCTGTGTTTTATGTAGTAAATGTTACTTTGTGCATTTTAAAGTATAATGCTGGTTTTGTGTCCCCACGTGTGTAATGGAGTTTTTCCTTTGTCTTGGGAGATAATTGAGTTACTTCCCAATTATCTCCCAGGGCAGAGGGGAGGAAGCCAGGATGCATTGTGGGAATATACTGTGACTGTGTGTCCTATTTGTCCACTTGTCTGTCCCTTGTCACAGTCTCCCATTTGGTCCCCTAGGGGAGTGTCCACCAGGTGGGAGACCTGCATAAATACTGGGCAGGTAGCCCTCATTAAACAGACCACTGCTTGACCCTCAACACAGAGCCTTGTCTCGTTCTTGGGGGGATTCACTGTATGCTGTTAGAGACTGATTGCCAGGAGTGTAAGCTGATTGTCTGCTTTTCCTGTTCGTCTGCTAGCAGCTATTTGGGAGGTTCCAGTTCGGGAGTTGAAGTGCTATTTTGTATCCACTTCAGGAGTTTGTTGTTCTGCAGTAGCTGTGCCTGTATCTCTGGAAAGGGGGCCGATCGCCTAAACGTTTTTTTTCCCCTTTTGTGCAAAACGGTCCGTTACAAGAAGTAACCAAATCTGTCATAACTTGAGGTTTGTCAGTATATGAAGAGTTATGAGTCTTCCAGTTAAATAAATCAGTCATAGTGAAGGGGACATATACAAACACTGGATCTGCCCGTTGTATTTGGCCATTCTCATCCACGTGCCCCACACACATCTCATCCTGATGTAAGTCTGAGGGGCATTTGGTAATGTCGGGGTTGGACGCTACCAGTCATCTGTCGGATTAATATGGGACTTCGGCAAGGCTGCTCAATAATAGGTTCAAGTCTGGGAGTAAGATAGGTGTAAGGGGGTGAGCTAATTTTATTAGTCAGCATTTGGTGGATAAAAAAAGTTTTTTTTAAAAAGTGTTAAACCAAAAACCTACCAGTAGGTGTCACCAGAGGATAATTGTATCAAAATAATCTTTATGGGTCTAATAATAAAACTTAACTTTTAATATATTTATACATAAAATAAAACCTTATAGCAATAAATATATTAAAATAGGGTAAGCAATCCTACTTCTATCTGTTATAAACAATGTATTATCAATGTAACTCCTGAAGATGGCCAGTAGGTGGCCCTAGAGTGCCTCCCTAAAGTCTAATGAAGCAAATAGACTTTAATTAATTATGTCCCTATTTTATTATTATTTATTTTAATCACTGTCCACCCTGATATCTAGGCTTGATTAAATCTTTAGTTCTAAGATAAATTAAACATTTCAGTTTGTATTTTAGTAAAAGGGGACATTTTGGACAAAGCTGGGAGGGGCCCATCCAGTAACTAAAAAAAGACAATATACCATCTTATACCATTGATCATTGATTAGGGGGAAGGGGAGTAGTACAGAAATACAAGAGTTTGAAACAAAAGAACATATAGGTATGTGGGTAGGCGGGGACAGTAGAGCAGGGGGAGTGCAAATACAAACTATACCAGTTTTGGGAGGAAGAAATGGGCGTGGCTACTCTGGCACTGGAGGATGAATAGGGGGGGAGGGGGGGTTGGTAATCAGATGCCAGGGGGGGAGGGGATGTCCAAAGCAGTTGTAATTAAGACCTTAGTTCTGACGACCATGTGGCTACATTGTTTCTCATATGACACAGTTTAACTCACCAAGGCAGTTTTTCAACAATCAGTTTCCAACAGTCAATATATAGAAACTGATCATAGAATTCCGGCCTACTAGTTACAGCCACATGTACACCCTGCACTAAATTTAAGTGAAGACTGCTACATGGAGGCCATGCGGCCACCAAAACAGGCTACTCCCTACTTTTTTTTTTTTTTTAAACATACAAGACAAAGGACCAACAGCCTTGTGAATCAGAAGATTATTTCAACAGAACGTCTGATTCAAAAAGCTGTACAAATATACACACAGTTTCAACAGTCACACCAATCTCCTTATCACCAGCACCACATTGCACAGTCACTAGGCCCAAACATACACATGCACGCAAACACAGGATCCTCACATGCTCAACAATATCACGACGTCGCACACACGAAATTAAATCAAAAACCCACCAAAGACTATACACTTATCATGTAACTATTATTCAAACCATACAACTATCCACGCTATTAATCCATATAAACTAACCGATCACATAACATTTCAACAATTTCATCTCTACAATTATCCGTACTATAAATCAACTTTTTTTTTTTATATATATATATAAATCTTTATTTTCATTTTTTTTTTTTTTTAAGTTCATTCAGGTACAGATACAGCTTTCAACTGTAGTTTTAAACACTGTAGAAAATTACTTAGCAGTAAAATTATACGTATAAATAACAATAGAACCGTGCTTCAAATATACATCTACCAGTTTTCTGCTGTATCTACAGCCGTACAAACATACCATACATACAATTCATCTTATCCATACCACATTTTCACTACTACCTACAATTAGCTATCTATAGGGGGGCAGGGGGGTTTGAGTTTTTATAATTAATATATCTAACCCAAGGGGCCCAAACTTCATTATATTTTTCTCTAGATATCTTGTTTAGAGCTATCTCAGCTTCCATGCTACGTTGGTAATCTATCTGTGTACAATTATCGTGCCAATTTAACACACCTATTTTTCTCCAATTTCTAGCCATAACTATTTTTATTGCCATACAGATGTGGATCATAAGAATTTTTCGTTTTATATTGCTTTTTGGCAGGTCTAAATGAAACAAAAACATTTGAGGCGTAATCACAGTCTGAATCTCAAACACAAAATCCATCAATTCCGCTAAAATTAATTTCATAGGTTTCAACTCCTCACAGTCCCACCAGATGTGGGAGAATGAACCTAACTCCCTACCACATCTCCAACAATCTGGTAGAAGTGTGGGTTGAAATCTATGAAGGCGGCCGGGCCGCCGGGCCGTCCGGACGCATTGTACAGGGGCTCCAGCATTGCCGGAGAAAAAAGGCACAAAAAGCCGCCCCAGACCGCAAAGAAGTCGGATAACCCGACAATAACTGACAGGGGGCAACCTTAGCGCACCGTAGACGCCGGCACAACACAAGCCCGACGGGCAATGGAGGGCAAGCCCGGCCTACACGCGGCAGAGCACCTGACCGCGGCCACAACACGCGGCTTGTGATTACAGAGGGCCGCGGACCCGAAACACATATGCTGGAGAGAAACCGCACGGACGGTCCCATCAGCACCCCCGGCCCGGGGCGCGGCCCTGCCCCCCCCCCCGGCCGGTGGGGGTTATCCCGGCCACATGGCGGTGACCCATACCACGACGGGAGTCCTTGCGTGGGGAGTGCAATACCTGCCTACACTGGCTAAAGCTGTGTGTGCAGCAGCAAGCCAGCAGCAACTGTCAACTACACGGAGGGAGAGCCCGAGGAAGGGAGCACACAGACCCCGAATAAGCGGAGGCTGCTCACTGCATGAACAACGGAGGAACAGCCCGCCAGCAGATAAGGACGGACGGAAAGACGAGCACGGAAAAATCTACCTACATCTGAGTGGCAGCTTCTGTATGAGGCACGAGGGGCCCAGAAGGCTGCCGGCTCACGGACGGACACCCCAGACGACCTGCCCCCTGGTGACGATACTGGGCCCTGCATCTGGGTTTCTGGGTGGCCCGGAGAAGGATGTCCCTGGTGCAGCGAGCCCTGTGGGGCCAGAAGGCACTAAACCCCTCCGGTATACCGGTGGCCGTGAGGGAGGAGGCGCATCGCCTCTAAGTGTGAGGCCTGTACTGGGTGAGACGCGTGGGACCAGGTGTCACCGGGCAGCGCAAGTGATGCGGGGGAGGTGCAGGGGACAGCGGGTACTGGGACTTTTGTGGGGGGTCTCAGGGCCTGGCCTGGACCCCGAGTGCCCACGGCATCACGGAGCGCTCCGCAGGGGACTGAGTCCTGGAGGAGGACAGATGGACGACTGGCGTCCTAAAGGACCTCACCGACCCGTTCCAGTGGTGCCTGGTCCATGTGAACCAGAGGATTTGTTGGATGGGGTAATTTTTGGTGCCAAATACTTGGGTTCTACCCAGCTGCAATATGAGAAAAACCCAGCAACAAACACTCGGATGAGACAGGCCCAGGAGGCAGTGGACAGGGTGAAGGCACCAGAAGGGGAGTCTCAGCCGATGACCGAGGTTGATGTAATGGTGTCGACACAAAGAGTTAAAGTGCTGACTGCAGATTCTCAGGAAGCCTTGATGGATCACCCATTACAAACAATCTCATACACTGCCGATATTGGAAGTATTGTGGTTATTATGGCACGCAGGAAATCTCCCCGTAGCCAGGAGCAGCCCTCGGGCCAAAAGAGGTCACAAAGGATGCTGTGCCATGTCTTCCAGTCTGCTGACGCTCAGATGATTGCCCAGGCCATTGGTCAAGCTTTTGGATTGGCCTATCAGAACTTCCTGCTTTCAGAAGGCGGGCAGCCAGTCACTTCAGAAGTTGATAATTGCCTTTGAAGACCACGTATCGTCTGGCATGACACCCTCAATGGGAGGTTACCAAATAAAAATATCAACTTGGGGAGGAGATAGAAGTTTACTGCTTCAATCCTTCCCAACCAAGAGAGTTCCAATCCCTTCCAGTTTTTTAAGGTGTTCCTAAATTGGATAGCAATGTCTGTATAATTAAGTTCTCCAATTTCTCTATAGTCTAGCGATAGTTTTACTCCTAAATATTTTATATTCCTTGCTTCCCAGTCACATTTGAAGTCTATTTTGAGTTTGTCTACCTCAGATCCACTTAAACCTTTTATCAGGATTTGTGTTTTCTTTATATTTATTTTATAACCTGAGTATTTACCATACACATTAATGAGCCGAAATACGGCTGGGATAGATCTAATAGGGTCTGCAAGGGTCAATAAGACATCATCTGCATAAAGTGCAATTTTATTCTCCATCCTATTCACTTTTAGCCCGCTGATGTCTTCATTCTGTCTAATCGCGGCTGCCAACGGCTCTATAGAAAGGATATATAGCAGGGGTGCCAAAGGGCATCCCTGTCGCGTCCCATTTCTAATTGGAAACCAATTTGATTAGAACATATATCCTGATACTTTAGCTTGAGGGTCTTTATATAATGCCATTGTGCACTCCTTGAAGAAACCCTCGATGCCGAAGGCCCTCAGTACTTCCTCCAAATACTTCCAGTTAACCCGATCGAATGCCTTCTCGGCATCGAGGGTAACCATAGCAAAGGGAGACGAACTTTGGTTCGCATGATATAAGACATTCAATAATTTCCTAATGTTATCAGATGTGCCCCTACCCTCTACAAATCCGGTCTGATCTAAATGTACTATATTAGGTATGTTTTGTTTAAGTCTATCAGCCAGAATTCTGGAGTAAACTTTGATATCCAAATTGATAAGAGAGATTGGTCTGTAATTCGAAATGTATGTTGGATCCTTATCTATCTTAGGAATTGGTATTATAGAAGCCTGGAGTAGTTCTGTTGGGATGGCTTTATGATTAGCAAAGTCTTCAAATGTTCTTAATATATATGGTGAAATTATATCACTTAATTTTTTATAAAAAATTGAGGAAAAGCCATCTGGGCCTGGTGCTTTGCCTGCTGTTAATGCTTTAATAGTATTGCTAATCTCCTGAATGGAAAATGGGGCATTTAATTGACTTAATTTCTCCATCGATATTTTTGGTAAGCTCAATTTATCCAGAAACTGTTTTGTTTCGCCCTCAGGTGGCTCATTATATTTTATATTATACAGGCTTTTATAATAGTCTTCAAATGCTTTAGCTATTTGAGTTGGAGAGAGCATTTTTTTACTTCCGACTGTTATATAGTTTATAGATTGTAGTTTATTTTTATTTTTTAATTTGTTTGAGAGATTTTTCCCTGTTTTATTATTTCCATAATACCATCTCTGTTTTAAGATTAACATGGCTTTATTAATCTTTTCTTGGGTTCTTACTAATATTCTTTCCCTGATCTCTTTAATAAGCTCCAAGATTTTATAGTCAATGGTGAGTTTATGTAAGCGTTCTTGTTTTGCCAGATCAATATAAAGCTCGTTAAGCTCCTTTCCTTTCTTTTTTTTTATAGTGGCACCCAATTTTATGAGACATCCTCTCATATATGATTTAAAAGTACACCATAACATGGCGTTAGAGACATCCCCTGTATCATTGATTTCGAAGAATTCTCTAGTCTGAGTGCGCAGTTCTTCTACATTAATTTCTGATTTTAATAAATTTTCATTTAGTCTCCATTTATCTCTACACTTATATTCAGCATTATTTTTTATAACTAAGCTTACAGGTGCATGGTCGGACCATGTTATCGGTCCAATTGTCACCTTCTTGACTCGCTCCAAAGTTTCCGATTTAACCAAAAAATAATCAATTCTGGTATATGTCTGATGGACACTTGAAAAGAACGTATAGTCTCTCGCTTCTGGACTATACGTTCTCCAGGCATCATATAAACAATTTTTTGCCAGAAAAGTCTGCATCATTGATAGACCTGTTCTTTGCTTGCCGTCTATATGAACAGGCTTAGTTCTGTTCCTATCTATTTTATTATCTATAGTGCAATTAAAGTCCCCACCGATAATTAGGCTGCCAGACGATACGCGGTCAATCTTTTGCATCAGATTTCCCAAAAATCTGTATGGAGATTGGTTTGGAGCATAAACATTTACTAAAGTATACACAATATCGTTAATTCGAGCTATCACTATAAGGAACCTACCACCCGGGTCGGCCTCCTCATAGATCAGCTCATATTTCAAACTACCTGAAAAAAAAATTGCCACCCCTCTTTTCTTATTCTTTCCTGCCAAATTAGATCTATGGACCACTGGGAATTTTTTGTAGTTCCATAGTTTAGGCATAGAGTTAGTCCAGTGTGTTTCTTGAACGAAACCAATATCTATTTTACTGTCAATCAGTAGTTTATATAAATAACCTCTTTTCTGACCTGAATTTAAGCCCCTTGCATTAATAGATAGTATGTTTAATGACATACTACCGCAGCTCTTCCCACACCCTCTCCCCCTCTAGCCTCCCCTCAGATAGCATCCAACACTCAAATCCATTCATACCTTCGCCAGTCGGCCCTATATATTTGGACCTCCTGGTGAAGCTCCAACTTTCTATTACTACATTCAATCCATAATATGAAGTTCTGTGTACAGTCTTCATATTTAACCCTGCTGCCGTCGCAGGACCCTGGACCAGAATAGTAGGCAATGTCAATGCCTTAACTCTGTAGGCAATTTATTCTTTATTATACTCCCTCTATCCTTCAACTTATTCTGCCCTTCTTTTCCCTTTCCCTTTCGATTCCTATTTTTAAAGGCGTTCCGATGTTCTTTCCCTTTATCCAACCCCAAGATCTATCTACTGGGTTCCCCTGCTACTGACTTTTATTTTATCTAGGACAACTCGACTATCCTCATGTTTTTATTCTCAAGTGATCCTTTTCCCTAGCTCTTGGATATAGTCTCCCTTCTCCTCCCTTACTTCCACCAATGTGCCAATTTCATACAAAATTTAATTAAACTTGTAGTTATTGTGAAACTCACTTCATTCATTTCATTCACATAAGTTAGATAATGTATCCATACATATATATTGTGTTTTAAACTCATCTTCCCTATTCATTACTCTAGATGTAAATCTATAATTATTTTCATTATATTCGTGTATAATTAACCCCTATAACATACCTAAAACAAATATACACCATTTCTACCCATGTCCAAAAATCTTATAAGTTATTTTCAATACTTCTATGTGTTATAAACCTCTTTTTGTTCAATTCATACTACTAAGTTATCTTATGTGTCATTATATCAATTTATCTATTATAACTATAGCTCTGTGGTTGCCCCTTTTAAACTTTGCCACTTCTATATAATGAGGAAAAAAAAAAATAAATAAAAAAGGAGGAGTTCAATTAGTTGAGACTAAGGAATAATTTTCAAACTTATCATCTTCTGCTTTAGTGCCAAGTTGTCTCTGAAGATATATGTTTTATCTTTGAAGAAGACCATGATTGCCGTCGGGAACAGCCACTTGTATCTAATCTCCAAATTCCTAAGAATAAGCGTTTCTTCGGCAAAAGTTCTTCTTGCTTGTCTTGTCTCATAGGATAAGTCCTGATAAACTTTTAAATGTCTCCATTCTTCAGTGTCTATGATCCCATTCCTTATCTTCTGCATTATTTGATTCTTCATCCAAAAACTAGCGAAACAAATCATAACATCTCTTGGATAGGACTTGTCGGTTCCATTTGATCTTGCCAATCTGTGGAATCTTTCAAATGTCTCAGGGCCCAGCGTCTGTCTGGATAGTATTTTTGAAAAGAAATTGTTCAAATACAAATATAAGTCTTCTTGTAGAATTGATTCCGGTATGCCTCTGACTCTTACGTTGTTTCTCCTTGAGCGATCCTCTAGATCAGTCAGCTTGATCTCAATATCCTGCAGTCTCTTCTCTAGCTGTATATTAGATGTTTTGATTTGTTCGTATTCCTCTTGTACTTTTTGTAATATGATTGCTTGATTTGAGAGTTTCTCAGAGAGAGTGGCAATTTCCAGTCTGATATCTTTAGAGTTGTTTTCAATATCCATTTGGATCTTTTTATGTAAATTGTCCAGCATTTGGGTTAAAAGTTGTTGCGTCAATCCCTGTGGGTTTTTTGACAGGTATGGTAAGTCATCCTCTAATATATTTGATAATTGATGTGCTGAAAGCTGAGCATTTTCTAAAGGCAGAGACTTTCGTTGCCTCTCTGGTTCTATACATGCAGCTTTGGGTGAATAAAATGAACCAATTGTTGCCTTCTTTTTCTCCATATTTTGGGCTCTCTCTTTTTTCTGAGCCATATGTAGTGCTAGAACACCTAGATTAAACTTTATGCTCCACTAAGAATGGCTGTGGAATTTAAATTACTTTTTCACAATTAACCCAAATCTCTCATTTCCTCTTCACTGCAACGCCAGACAACTGTCTCTTTAAATTAACTCTTGTTTGTCAGGTATGATATAGAAATCAGTGAATAATAAGAGTATATTCAGTAATCAATCTTCTATTTATAAGCATAAATACCTTCAGTCTGTAGATTTATATGCACAATATCAGCCCAAATCGTACTTGAAGTTTTCCCTTCCTCAGTGTATCAGCAGGCCCCAATACCTCTTGTTTGTCAGATATGGAATATGAATCAGTAGCAGGAAAATGCCTCAATGTATCTGCTTTTGTAACTTTGTATCCGCTTTACAGCAGCTGCTCGGCCAGTTAACATACTCGTGGGAATCAATGGCAAATGTAACTGCTTTTGTAACTTTGTAGCTTTTGTAACTTTGTGTCTGCTTTACAGCAGCTGCTCAGCCAGTTAACATACACGTGGGAATCAATGGCAAATGATTGTCTCAGTGAATCAGCTTTGTAACTTATGTAGCAACTTTATAACAACTGTTCAGCCGATTGCCATACCGTGAGAGTCAAAAGGGGATATCGAATAAATACCCCCCTATATCAGCTTGTATCTCTATATCGGCTTTGTGGCAGCTTTTCAGCCGCTTCTCCTACTCGTGCCTCGCTGATTAAAAGCTTCAACGCCGTTCCGCCTGGCGTCCTTGCTACCTCGTTTGATTCGCCTGCA